TCAACTAGTAAGTTGGGTGATGGGTGAGGATTAAAGAGCATCATGGGCTCTGGAAATGGTGAGGGAAATGTGAACTTTGGGATATTTTGCAATGCCAGGCACTCGTCATTAACAAGATAAAGATCCATTCCAATCCAAGGACCAGAAAAATTGAGTGGATTGACTCAAGTCCGAGGTGTGCAGCCATACCCTTAGTGAACTTCCTCGCCATCTGACCAGTCATCATTGTCAGATACTGCCAATTATGCATCTGATTCACACCAGCTGCCGATCTATGATGACCAGATACCTTTGTCACCTGAAAACGCCATCTCAGTGCAAGGTCTGGGATCCCACTCCAAACACCCGGGGAGCTTCTCTGTACAGGTCCTCTAAATGGTGACATTGCTTGGGCAGGACACCCAACAGCTCACCAAACTGCTGGTGGATCCTCCCTGTGACGTTCAAATGGAGGACTCCGTGGCAGTTGCTGTTTCATTCCTTCCCATGCTGCTCCAGTCCATGAAGGAGCTGTGCAATGTGCTGGCACAGCCGCAGCCAACATCCCACCATTCAGACGGCCCGTACCGGGTCCGAGAGAGGGCCATCCTGTTCCTACAGCATCCTCTGCAGCCAGGCTTGCTCATGGTGGAAGCAGTACGGGGGACACACTCCACTCCGGCAGAGCGAGAGGGATGCTGTGGGAGCACTGTGGTGAGGAGTCTGTGGGCAATGGACTAGGCTTCCACATCTCCAGCTATGCGGCCACCATGGGGAGATACCAGCTCTTCCTGTGGGGGAACCTGCGTGCCCTAGCTGAGTCCTTTCCAGAACAACCTTGTGAACTGATGGGGTGTTCCAGGAGGAAATCAGCACTGCCTGCCACGATGTCGACTTGTCAGTGCAGTGGCGATCCGGCGACATGCGTGGCTGTGGAGTGGCAAGCCTGTTGCAGGAGGCTCAGCCCAGGGTTGAGATGCCCTTGGACAGTGAGGGCCTCTTCAATAGAAAGGTGACAGTGTCTGGAAAGCCAGGCGAGAAGGATTGGAGAACTTCACTTCCTGGTGGGTCCACAGACAGTGGGAAACTTAAAGAGGGTACAGGATACCTTTTGGTCTTCCACATCTGGCCATGAATTCACAAGAGAATTTAGAGTGATAGATTAAAATGAGGTTCTTTCTTTGCCCCGACCACTGCAAAGAAAATAACAAACCCAGCAAGGGAAATGGGAAAGAGGCAAAGAGGGGAAACTAACCAAAATGCTAAAGGTGTGGCTAAGGATATTGTGCTTTACGAAGGGCCTTGTGACGACCTCAACATATTACCCAAATTCCCTGTTTGTACATTCAAATATTGAACTCCGACTCAGAAAATCGTTTCAATGCTGCAGTGTCTAGCTCCAGATGGCAACGCAGGCAGCTCACAGGGTGATTCTGTCCCGCATGGAACCTGGCCTGAAGGTTCAGTGGGCACGTCACCAGAGAAACAGCTCTTTCTGTACACGAGACAACACAAACATATCTGGGCAAACAAGGCAACAAGCTAGTTGGAGGGAGAGGATTCTGGCCCTGGAACTGTGATAGTTGAATGGGCGAGTACTAGGGAAGGCATCATGAGAGTAAGATGAATCCCGTTCTGATCCTTTGCGGTCAGTCGCAAACCATGAAGTCGCAAGCCTGCCTACACTCTCCCAAAGCACAAGGGCAATTATAGTGAGGTTAGCTACAGCCACATCATAGTTTAGCTAGACCTGAATCTACAGTGTATCACAGAAGTGAGTACACCCCTCAACATTTTGTACATATTTTATTATATCTTTTCATGTGACAACACTGAAGAAATGACAGTTTGCTACAATGTAAAATAGTGAATATTCGGCTTGTATAACAGTGTAAATTTGCTGTCCCCTCAAAATAACTCAACACACAGCCATTAATGTCTAAACTGCTGGCAACAAAAGTGAGTACACCTCTAAGTGAAACTGTCCAAATTGGGCATTATTAACTATTTTCCCTCCCCAGTGTCATGTGACTTGTTAGTGTTACAAGGTCTCAGGTGTGAATGGGGAGCAGGTGTGTTAAATTTGGTGTTTTCGCTCTCACTCTCTCATACTGGTCACTGGAAGCTCAACATGGCACCTCATGGCAAAGAACTCTGAGGATCTGAAAAAAAGAATTGTTGCTCTACATAAAGTTGGCCTAGGCTATAAGAAGATTTCCAAGACCCTGAAACAGCTGCAGCACGGTGGCCAAGACCAGGCAGTGGTTTAACAGGGCAGGTTCCACTCAGAACAGGCCTCGCCAAGGTCGACCAAAGAAGTTGAGTGCATGTGTTCAGCGTCATATCCAGAGGTTGGCTTTGGGAAATAGACGTATGAGTGCTGCCAGCATTGCTGCAGAGGTTGAAGAGGTGGTGGGCCAGCCTGTCAGTGCTCAGACCATACGCCGCACACTGCATCAAATTGGTCTGCAGGGCTGTCGTCCCAGAAGGAAGCCTCTTCTAAAGATGATGCACAAGAAAGCCCGCAAACAGTTTGCTGAAGACAAGCAGACTAAGGACATGGATTAGTGGAACCATGTCCTGTGGTCTGATGAGACCAAGATAAACTTATTAGGTTCAGATGGTGTCAAGTGTGTGTGGCGACAACCAGGTGAGGAGTACAAAGACAAGTGTGTCTTGCCTACAGTCAAGCATGGTGGTGGGAGTGTCATGATCTGGGGCTGCATGAGTGCTGCCGGCACTGGGGAGCTACAGTTCATTGAGGGAACCATGAATGCCAACATATACTGTGTCATACTGAAGCAGAACATGATCCCCTCCCTTCGGAGACTGGGCCGCAGGGCAGTGTTCCAACATGATAAGGACCCCAAACACACCTCCAAGATGACCACTGCCTTGCTAAAGAAGCTGAGGGTAAAGATGATGGACTGGCCAAGCATGTCTCCAGACCTAAACCCTATCGAGCATCTGTGCAGCATCCTGAAATGGAAGGTGGAGGAGCGCAAGGTCTCTAACATCCACCAGCTCCGTGATGTCGTCATGGAGGAGTGGAAGAGGATTCCAGTGGCAACCTGTGAAGCTCTGGTGAACTCCGTGCCCAAGAGGGTTAAGGCATTGCTGGAAATAATGGTGGCCACACAAAATATTGACACTTTGGGCCCAATTTGGACAGTTTCACTTAGGGGTGTACTCACTTTTATTGCCAGCGGTTTAGACATTAATTGCTGTTATTTTGAGGGGACAGCAAATTTACACTGTTATACAAGCCGAATATTCACTACTTTACATTGTAGCAAACTGTCATTTCTTCAGTGTTGTCACATGAAAAGATATAATAAAATATTTACAAAATGTTGAGGGGTGTACTCACTTCTGTGATATCTCCATATATGTGTTTTAAGCAGTGGCTATGATAAAAGGAGTTTCATAATTGGTAAGAACTTGCTTCCCATTCATGTGCCCATAATCTGTACAGGCAGTCCCCAGGTTACAAATGAGTTCTGGTCCTGAGAAAATGGAATTTTGTCTTTAAATCATATTTGTAAGTCAGCTCACATATAGTTGGCCATCTGCATTTACAGGGTTGAGTCTGCAGGACCTCCATGAAAGTGGAAAAGCTGAATATCTCTAGCCCTCTGCAAACTCACCAGTGCCTCTTCTCTGCAGCAAAGCGCTGGAGAGATTTCCTTCTTCAGATGGGTGGGCCAGGAAGGCCTGCTTTAGAGGCTTCCCCTTCTCCCTTTTTGCTTCCTCTCTCTATGATGATGACAATTTTCTATGGTAATTTAAAAATATTAATAGGTGTTGTGGCAGTTTGTTCGATGTTCGTAACTCAGGGACTACTTCTATATGTGCATTGTTCATCATAGTTCTTTGACTTTTTATTGTTCTTCTCAAACTACTTTAAAGTCGCCTGTTATAACTATCTAGTACTGTAGAGAAAAGAATACACACACATATAAATGAAGAAAGTTGATCTTGTCTTTGAGATTTTTTTTTGTTCTTGCAATCATGTTAAATTTAACACCAGTTTGTTTTGTTCAGTTTAATGGCAAATCAGTTGTATAGAGTACAAAAGGGAATTTGTGCAATCAGTGTGCTGGAGTAAACTTTGGGCAAAAACCAACATCAGTGTCAATTTACACAGCATCTGTTTAACCCACTATGGTCTTCATAGATTGTTTTCTCTCAGCTCTATAGCATGAAATAAAATGATTTAATTGCTATGGTTTCCTTTGATCCAGCCTGAGAATTGCCAGTTTCCTAAAAGATCAGAGAATCATATACACCAACTTGTCTTCCAAGTGTTGTAGCCCAAACAGCCCATCCCTTTTTAGCCCAAACAGCACTCTCTGTAAAGTATTGGCAGGCTTGGGTGGAACCCGAAGATTTGCAGAAGCACAGAGAATTCTTCCCCCAAAAAACTTCAGGGTGTGGAAGGAGGAGCTGCAATCAACCCAATGAGAACTGAGTATGCTCAGTTACCATAGGATGTTTAGTTTGTGCTAGGATGGTGTGCGTACGGGGGGGGGGGTGCGTCATGGAAGCCGACCTGCCTGCGTGCCTAGAACACGGAGTAGATCCATTCCACAAGGCAACATTTTGCTGTGCATCCCACTTGTTCTGTGTATTTGGGAACATTGTTCCCTGATGGAGTTACATCTTCTGGGATTTCCTGGGAAAGGATTGCGGGCATGGGCATTTAATCAGTTCCTGTATAGACAGACAGGCCTTTCCAGGGAATTAGGACTCTTCTTACAACCTTTTTGCAATATATATGTTTGTGTACTTTTTTCCTTTTAGCATGTTTGTTTGGTGAGCAGGATCATTGTAGTTTGAGTCTAATTTGGCAACTCTGCATGAGAAAGTAACAACTAGTTTGATACTGTGGTCTTCAATATAATATGCCTTTCATCTGTTTGGCAAATGCGCATTACATGGAAGATATTTCTAGATGTAGGGGGATTATAGCCTAGTTTCAAATGAGTTTGAACGATACCATCTCTCTGCTCTGTTGATAGGTAATTGGAAAAGATGATGTGGCTGTACCTTCACATCTGTACAAAGTGATTCTTGCCAGACAAAGTGAAGCTTCCACAGATCCGTTGGCACTTGGAGCCTTCGTAGTGCCCAACATCCCTATTGGCTTTGACCACCAGCTGCTGGAATTCCAAGTTAACATTGAAGACCTAGAGAAAATGGCAGGCCTTATTTTCTTTCCACAAGTAGATAAATCCAAAGATGTTAGAAATATTTGTGAGGTTGATACTTGTAAACTAATGAATTTCGAGGAGTTTACTTTGTACATCACTACTCGCAAGTTACAGAATGCTAGGACGCTGGAGCGTTTGGGAAAGATCATGTCTGAATTACAGGAAAAAGGAATCAAGCCCAATGAATATCTTTTAAAGGTTTATAAGAAGAAGAAGGAAGAATTAGAAATGCAGATGCCAACTGAACTGAGAGAAGGCAGAGCTGGTTAATGTCTTATTTAAAAACAACAAGCCTGTGTGTTTATTTTCTGTAAAGAGCTTTTATGTAGTGATTCTGGTATTGTTAAGAAGCAATCTTGGCCAAGCTTTTAAACTGGCTGGGCTTCTCTGGGGAAAGCATAGCATTCTTCTGAGATAAATTAAAACAACCCCTGAAGCACGGTTTGGCAGCTGGACTTTCGGCAACTAGTTTGGGTCCTTTTTCAAATCAGTCATCAGATTTTGGGTTTATTTGGAGCCTGTTCTAAGAATAATACAAATGTATTATTTGTATTATACATTATTTTACCTAAGGTAAAAAATAGTTACCGTAGGAATATGAGTAGAATTTGTTTTGATTTCATTTTCTAACTTGATGCTTTAGAAGTGATGTTAGTTAATGTGTATGTACTCAATCATAATTGTATGAAGAAACATTTCAGCTGTTAAACCTAATTGTATCTTTAAAAGAGAATAAGGGTACATTCCTGTTGCCTTTGCAGCAGATGCATCCGACCTAGGAGGCTGACAAGTATCTAGTGCAAGCTGCAAGGCAGGGTAGCAACAGCAAGCTCCAACATTTCCGTACCGCATGCTCTACATTTTATCTGGATGGCTGTCAGCAGCCCTATAGATTTGGGGCTGGCAAGGGGGAGGGTAGAAAAGTAAGCAGCTGACTAGAAACAGCACAGCTCCATAGCCCCTCCCTCCCTCCCTTCCTCGTCCACCAGGATAACCCTTTTCCCCTACTCCACGGCTCACTTGCGACCTTGAAGGGGCGTCTGGCAAGGGTCTTTCCATACCAGCTGTGAGGGGCAGGGTGGGGGGCACTGACCTCAGAGGCAGTGTTCAGAGACCATAGGATTGTGTCGTATCTCTCTGATAACCTCTAGTTTCTATTAATTTTTGTAAACCGCCCAGAGAGCTTTGGCCATGGGCAGTATAGAAATAATAATAATTTTTATTTATTATTTTTCCCTTCAGTGAAACTTCTAAGTACCTGCATTATGTACCTGGCTTTTTTTTATTTATTTGGTGCCATTATGTTATGTTTCAAGATGTCTGGCTACCTTTTCTTTGTTGTAGCACCCTATTAATTTTTTTCATTGAACTAAACCTCCCTAGAATGTATTGGTTCTTGACACAAAGCCTCTAATTTCCTTCCACTATTATCACATCATTAGAAAACCCCCATAACACCCCAACTTATCAGTGCTTTTACTTTTATTGATATTCTTTGTTTGAAAACAAATGTCTGTAAAGCTTCTGTTTCCATATGCCTTGAGAAGCTCTCTGATAAATGAAGTGAGTTTTAATGCACATTTCCACAAGGCTTCAATTGTATTGTTTGTTTCTTCAGAAATGCAGGATGAGCTTCATTGCATGAGGGCCCTGCTTCCTTCCATGCTTGCACAGAAATATTTCCCTTTCCTTTTTTCCTCCAAAGCCACTTCACCAAACTTGTGACACAAAGATGGAGACAATCAGGACTGCAGTTCAGGGAGAATGCTTAGAAGGTGTTTTCAGCTCTACTCTTGTGCTTCTCTGAATCACAGCTGTGGGCTTTTCTGGGCTATAATGTACAACTTCTGAGTGGCAAATATTTTAAAAGAAATGTTTCCAGTCAGTCAATAAACATTTTCTTAAGCCCTGTGCACCAATTTTGTGTGTGTGTGTGTGTGTGTGTGAGAGAGAGAGAGGGGGGGGGGCAAAAAATGCTGGAATTTATTTACAAAAAATCATGTGTTTATTTTTACATGTTCAAACCTCAGTCACCTTCAAAGTACTCTCAGTTTGATGCAATATACCTATTGAGACATTTTTTCCACTGCTCAAAACAGGTTTTGAACTTGTTGATTTTGATGCCTTTTAGTGCTTCTGCCGTCTTTTTATTCTCCTCTTCCTCATCAGCAAAACGTTTCCCTTTGAGGACTTTGAGGAGGAAAGTCACGTGGGGCACGATCGGGTGACTAGGGAGGGTGGGGCACAAGGGTCATGCCATTTTTGGTCGAAAACTGCTGAACACTCAGCTGAACAATATTTCATCACCGCACGTTGTTTGTGTAAATCAGCCATCACAAAACAGGCAAACGTGTTGAATGAGTCTCCAAAAATAACTCCCTGAGGCCAAACGCAGCCTCTCACAACAACCCAGCCGGGTACATGGATGCAGATGGGTTCCTAGAACACTCACCTAGCAGGGCAAGCATGTGCTACAAGTGGCCCACCCTCCAGAAGGTAATTCCCCCTTATTTTATTTTATTTTATTTTATTGCATCCCACCTCATGTATGAAGACCCCAAAAGGGCGTCTTTTAAAAATAATTTGGTGGTAGGCGTACATTTGACCGGTCAAAAAAGATGTTGATGATGGTCAAGTGTTAGTCAAATAGTAGTCCTTTATTTTTAAAGCATTAACTTCATTAGAACCATTCCATTAAAAAGACCTTCAGCTTTCCCTCTTCATAAATGAAAAGCTTGCTTGTGCTAGTATCTTGTGCTTGGTTCAGTCTATGTCTTTCATCCTTCCAGGAGCTCCTCTTTGGCTAGAGTTGAGTCTAGCTCCTCACGTGAACTTCACAGCTGGCCGGAGCATAGTGAGAGAGCGCTTCCTTCTCCCTGTAAGAAGCAGGTGGAATCATGCAGTGCTCTTGGTTAGTATGAACTTGGTTAGTGCTTTTGTCCCTCCTCAGATATACCTTCGTTACACTGCCACATGCTTTCCCGAGCACAAAGATGCCCGAGGTCTTCAATTACGCGCTCACAGGGCTGATCTGCAGAATATAGCAGTGCCAACCCTGGGCTTCCAACCACAAGGTGAGCGTCAACGTCTTTTTGTTGCATTAAAAGGTGGTTAATTGCCATTAGTATAAAAATAAAATACTTTTTGTTCTAGAAAGGCTGGGTGAAATACTAAATTCAGCCTTTAGAGGAAATGAAAGAATTAAGGAGTGACAGGAAAGGGGAACTTTGGTCAAAGGCACTGCATATTTAACTCCATGCTGTAGGAGTGACTGGCAGGTCTGTATTTTTGGTACCTTAGAAAAAGAGGGAAAAAGGACAAAATATTGAGGCCACCTGGTAGCACATGATATTGCAGCATCAAAGCTCGGCAGATGTGGCTTGCATCATTTCTTTGGATTGGAAACATGAGGGTTCCATGGCAACAAGATTTTTTAAAAATACAACTTACAGTCAAACTCCTCAATTTCCCAAAACTAACTGCACTGCTCCCTTAAGGCATCTCGTCAGAGACTGTGTATATCACCTTAACAATAGCAAAGTGCAACCTTGCAAGCTGAAAGATGGAAGAGCAGAGCTCTAGGTCTGTTTCTACCTTTTGCCAGGAATTTGATGTAGAATTCAAACACATGGTCTGTAGAGGGCACTTCAGAGCCGCAAAACTTCAGAGACCATGTGCCTAACTCTTTTAGGGGTCTGTTTGTTACAGACCAAACTGCATAAGAACATAGGAAGAGCCCTGCTGGATCAGTCCATCTGGCCTGGCATTCTGTTTCCCTCAGTGGCCGAACAGATGACTCCGGGAAGCCTGAAGTAGAATGTGGAGATACTGGTTCATCTGTTGCTGCTCCAAGCTGCTCCTCATTAGCTTAAATCTGTGGATGCCCATCTTTTCCCTACACATCCTGGTAATACTTAGCTAAGCCAGATGCACAACATGAAGAACATGAGCTCAGTGTCTTCACCCTGTTCTGCTTCATTGGCTGCTCCTTATATGGGGTGCCCAGAAAGACTGTGTCACATCATGCATCTCTTCCAACGAAAAAAAGCCAGAATGGATGCAGGGAGGAATGAGATTTTGGCAACAGCCATAAGTTTATGGTATCGTCCTTTGGTCTGTAGAGTAGGAAATAATCTGTTTGTTGTCCCCCTCCATCCCCAAATTCCTTTGACTTTTTAATTCATTTATTAGAAACGCATCTCCTGGCACTGTGGATCTATCTATGTGATACCATGACCAGCTGAATGTAGGCCTGTATGTGCAGCCGTGCTCACACAGATATCCGCCTGCTCCCACCACAACAAAAGAAGAAACCATTCTTATGATTGCGTTGGAAAGAAATTCTTACGATTGCTTTGGAGGCAAGACCAAGAGATGTGTCCCACTAATTCTACCCTGTGGGTGATCAAAAATCCTGCTTTATTTTCTGAAATTTCACTAGAGGACTCTCACTGTCTATTCAGACTAGCCTCCACAGGCAGCCTAAAGACTTGAAAACTAAGCGTTCACGATTGGAAAGGAATCTCAAAACCTGTCAAATGCTGTGCCAGATGTGGAATCCCACATTGCTGCGGCAAGCCTGTTCAGACAGGAATACTCAAAGCCTTAACTGTAAGTAACAATCTGTATCTTAGTTTTGTAAATTAAAAAAAACCCATTTGGGTATTTTTAGAATCCCACTAGACTTCTTTGCCGACTTCAGCAGTGACAGCTGGAGCCTTCCACTGACACGGTAGCTCCATTCTGCTGGGCGGAGAGAAGAGGGCTGTGCCATGTTGCTCTGGTTACAGCAGCGCTCTTCCTCTCCTTGGGCTCCCCTCCCGGGCGCGCAGCCTCTGCCCTGCTCCGTTCCGCCACAGCAATCCTGCAAACCAGGCACAGCGTTAATTGCCACAGCACGGCATCCGCACTAGCACGTTCTGCGGGAGCCAGAGAGAAGCTGTTGCCAAACCAGCCGGTTCTTCCTCTATACCTCTTGGGGGGGTTTGACAGTCAGACACCTTGTAGACAACCCCAAATGTAAACTGGCCAGGGTTTGTATGGAAGAACAGATTCGTGACTGAGCTATCCCTGAAAAGCCTCAAAGTAGGTGTGGTGTTTACATACGCAATTTATTACCTCGCAGGGTTGTCATTATGAGGATGGAATAGAGTGGTGTAGGCTGCCTCGGGTTCCTCACAAGAGGGAAAAAGTGGGATATAAATGCAATGCAATAATAATTACGTCTCACGCCTTCCTGACTGCAGTAATGCTTTTGTCCTGGCTTCTTATGTAAGACTTGAGAAAAGGTGAGCTGACAATATGAGGTGAAATTCTCATGCATCAGGTTTTTAAAAAGTAGTCTGACTGGCCACATGCTGTCTTGACTCTTGCCCGTATGGGCTGGTTTGAGCAAGCTGAGGGAGAAGGTTGATCAGGTAGTCCAGAGTGTGAGAAATGATTATTTGCATGAAGGAATGGCCCTCTCCAACCTTAAGAAAGAGGTTGTACATTATCTCTTGGAAAAGTCTACCCTAGATCCAGCTGTATATAATGGATTAAACATCCCCTTCTGGACTAAAGCTCTGGAGAAGGTGGTGGCAGCTCAAGTCTTCCTGTTCTTGGAAGAAGCAGGCTATTTAGCCCTACTCCAGTATGGTTCAGGCCTGCTTTCAGAGCAGCATCCGCCTTGGTCACACTGATGGAGAACCTTCACTGTGGGGAGCACGGCTCAGTCAATTCTCCTTGATCTTTCAGTGGCGTTTGGCATCCTCCACCATGGTATCCTTTTGCACTCACCAGCTCTGTGAGTTGGGGTGGACAGCACTGTGCTATGATGGTTACAAGCCTACTTGTAGGACAGGTTTTGGGGAGCTACATCGGGTGGCCAGGTCAGTCGGCTGACGTTTGTGCTATAGGGTTGTTGTTGTTAGTCGCGAAGTCATGTCCGACCCATCGCAACCCCATGGACAACATTCCTCCAGGCCTTCCTGTCCTCCGCCATCCCCCAGAGTCCACCTAAGCTCACACCAACTGCTTCAGTGCCTCCATCCAGCCACCTCATTCTCTGCCGTCCCCGTCTTCTTCTGCCATCTATTGTTCCCAGCATTAGGCTCTTCTCCAGGGAGTCCTTCCTTCTCATTCAGTGGCCAAAGTATTTGAGTTTCATCTTCAGCACCTGGCCTTTTAAAGAGCAGTCAGGGTTGATCTCCTCTAGGACTGGCCAGTTTGATCACCTTGCGGTCCAAGGGACTCGCAGGAGTCTCCTCCAGCACCACAATTCAAAGGCCTCAATCCTTTGGCGCTCAGCCTTCCTTATGGTCCAACTTTTGCAGCCATACATTGCAACTGGGAAAACCATAGGGAGTCCTGTCTTGTCCCCAGTGCCATTTAACATATATAGGAAGACATTGGCAGTAGCCGTAAGGAGATGCAAGGCACCGTCTGTGGTCCTGACACTCAGCTCTGTTTCTCTGTGACATGTGAGTCAGGTGAAACCGAGCAAAGTTTGGTTCGCTAGAAACTGGTGGGCTAAATGAGGGCCAATAAATGAGCCTGAATCATGACAAGATATAGGTTTTGCGGTTGAGCAGTTCCTGAATCTGGGACTAAGGCAAATTTCCTGTTCTGGCAAACCTGCTAAAGGATCAGATTGAGAGGTTTGAGGGGGAAAACAGAAGAGAAAACACCAAGACAGGCCACCCAGATAAAATGCAGGGTGCAAGGCACATCAGACGTCGTACTGTGGATTGGATGCATGTGAGCTTCCAAGTTCTGTACTTCCAAGCCGGAGGGCATTGGATTGCACCCTTTGTTACATTATGTATTATGTATAGCTTGGTTTGGCATAAACTTATCATGCTTGGCATATTTTAAGTACAGTTTATTCAGACAGTAATTACAAACTGGAATTACTTTTTTAAAAAAAATAATTTCATTTTTTGTGAGCTGAATGGTAAAGAAGAAGACCTGAACTGTAAGGAACTTCATTAGTTTTGCCATTCCTCAAATGCTCTCCTTCACAGATATAAGACTAATTCCCATTTCCCATAAAAATTACTGACAAAGAAAAAGGGGAAGGATTAAACCAATACTCAGTAAATATACATGAAATTGATCAGTTTCATTTTCTGAGTTATTGCTCTCAGTTTCAGTTTCTACTTTGTCTTCATCACAGATATCATAAACTTCTAAAAGCTTCTGACACATCAGTTTATTTATTGCTATGGTGTATTTCTAAACATTAACCAGTTTGCACAGAAGACTGTGGAATGTGGAGTCAGTTGTGCAGAGACCTTACAACCATGTTGCAGGAAGGAGATGTCTGGCAGGATCCTGGCCTCCATCATCCCTGGACCAAACCCCTGCAAATGTTCTGTGCTCTGCAGCCTTTCCAGCATCGAGTCCTAAATGTGCCGCTTGTTTTGCAATCCAATCAGGGGGTGCAGCAGCAGCGCTATCTTCATGGACATTTCTGCCTTTGACTCTTGGATCCAACAGATTTCCAACAGCGTGAATTGGATGGCAACAAAATTCTTCCTGTTTCTTAATAAAATCTTTCATTTCACTTTCTTTTGTACTTGTAAGTGGAGGTACACTTAGATTCTCAAAATCACTTCTTTTTATCTGGGCCATTTGGTCAGGAATTTCTAACAAAAGGGCACTGTCTGATTCAGAGGCAGTGATTGCTAAAGAAACTGGCTTTAGAATCCTTAGGGAGTTATGCAGCTGAATCCTCATCAAGGACAGAGGTCCTTACACTTATGAGTACTTTAAGATCCTCAGCTATTACTGTTTCCTGAAGAGCTTTGTTTTTGGTTTTTTTAGTAAACTTTCTGAGGAGATCACACTTGAATTTTACTACAGAACTTCAGCATCACTATTGTATTCCTTGCATTTTTTCCCCTTCTTGCTTTGTCTTGAAGACTGCAATTAACGTGGCATGCTGAATTGCAGAGCTGGGAGATGCAGGCTCTAGTCCCCACTTGACCGTGAAACTCACTGGATGACCTTGGGCCAGTCCCTCACTTTCAGCCTGAGCCACCTCTTGTTGTTGTTGTGAGGATAAAATGGAGTAGAGGAGGTCTGTGTAAGCTTTCTTGGGTTCCTTACAAGGAGAAAAAGGCAGAATATGAATGCAATGTAATAGGAATTATTTCACATGTTTCTTTTGCTCCTCTATAGATCTTCTGGCAAATGTCCAATTTCATGATGTCATTGTGAAGCATGCTGAACCTGTGGCACACACGTGTGCTGCAATAATATAGAAACAGAGCGAGTCAGAAGGGGTCTCCCGGGCCATCTAGTCTGACCCCTGGCTCCAGCTGGCTCCGCTCAGGTAGATACTTATACATTATGATTTCCCCTGTTTGCTTTCGTGTTACATGTCTTGGTCAGTCAGCAAAGCAAATGCTTTAATGCTGTTAGGTGTCATCAAGTCATCTCTTATGTATACCCTATGAACAAAAGGCAACCCTATGAACAAAAGCCCTCTAAAATTTCCTATGGCTGACAGCCTTACTCAGCTCTTGCAAATTCAAGCATATGCCTTCCCTTAATGAGTTAATCTCATATTTGGAAGCAAATGTTCCACCACTCTCAATTTTTGTAGGACTTTGCATATTTTGCAACTGTCACACTGTGCAGGATGTCTGTTCTCTCCTCTTTCAGTGCTTCTGAAAAATTCTGGTTGACCTGTTAGGATCACCAAGTTGATGGGTCCTTCTCCCTTCACAATCTTTAGGTACTGCATCTTTTCTACAAATGAAGGCACTGAGTATTTTTTGGAAGTCGTAATTTGCAATGCTTGCTTACTTGAAGGTGTCACTGCTGATGAGAAACTCTTTGAGATTCTGCTGGTGCGGAACGAGAGCTTCTGGAACAAAAGAATCTGGGAAGGCCCCTCTCATCAGTATGGCCATCCTCACTTAGATCCATGAAAGAGTTTTTTAATGTCTGCGGGCATTTCTTACATGGGACAAAGATATGTTTTGTCATCCTAGTAGCATTTGGAAATGCATATTTCATTTGACAGTATTTGCAAATTACTTTTTTTCTTCTCAGAACTTGCAGTGTGCAAATGCCTCCATATGCTATATTTTGTAAGGGGGGGGGAGAAAAAATAAGTTAGTGAGTGGCTTGCCAATGAACACACTAAACTGTGGCAGGGAAAGGTTGCAACAAAGCGTTAGATCCATAGGAATTTAATTAGGTTTTACAAAAGGGACATGGAGATAAACTAATGCATTTTAAGGATTCTAAATTCAGATAAATTTATGCTCCTAGCTTTCCAGCAGGGATATTTCCAGTTGCTTTTGGTTGCTTTGTAATTTCTCCCAGTCCTTTGCTGCTTCATCAAGAAGCCAGAAACAGGTTGCCAACAAGAGGAAGCCCACCAGCAAAGAAGAAATGGATGCCCTCTGCCTTCTTGTGTGACAATTTATTTTATTTATTTATTTTTCGATTTCTGTCCTGCCTTTTTCCTACAAAGGGCTCCCAGAGGGAGAGGGACACCTTGTCCTTGCGCACCGTAGGATAGGACTCGCTTGTCCTCACTGCAGGAGAATTGGCATGATCTGACACTGGACATAGTCTTACATGAACACCTGTTGCATTGGGGGGTTTTTTAGAAA